TCCTATATATGTCATCAGAAAACAAAATGGACTTGGTGCACAAAATCGTATGTCACCAGAGAGGCATTAAGGCATCAGAACATACATACTTACATACATTACAGTACATTACATTACAGTACAGTACATTACATCACACTACAGTACCTTACATTACATTACAGTAAAGTACAGTACATTACATTACACTACAGTACACTACATTGCACTACAGTACATTACAGCTCATTACATTACATACATGCACAGGACTTGGTGCACAAAATCGTATGTCACCAGAGGGGCACAAGTCCTAAGTCATCAGAACCTATTTACTTACATTACATTACCAGTACATTACAGTACATTGCATTACATACATGCAAAGGACTTGGTGCACAAAATCGTATGTCACCAGAGGGGCACAAGTCCTAAGTCATCAGAACCTACATACTTACCGTACATTACAGCACAGTACAGTACATTACAACACAATACATAATACGTTAAAATCTTTTTTATATAAGCAGAAAGAAAAATATAAGAACATATTTCAGCAAATATTTCAAAAATGAAAAAAACATGAAAAACTATATTTTTTTCATTTGTTTAATTGCTTTCAAATAATCTATGTATATAAATCGAATGAAAACATGAAATCACTGATTTTCTTCCCCACCTGCCAGGTGAGGGTTGTTAGATTTTATCAGAATTGTTCTTCTCCTCCTCCTCTTCCTCCTCCTCCTCCCTCTCCTCCTCGTCCTCCTCCTCGTCCTCCAGCATCTCCTCCACCACCTCTGCATCCACTCCCATGTTCACTTCCGCCTTGCCAACTCTTCGCCAACTTCCGCGTGCAGTGGGCACTGCTGGACCTCAACTGCCGGCGTGCAATCGGAGTGGGCACCGCTGGACCTCAATTTGGGACTTTCTGAGCTCAGTGAGCACCTCTGGACCTCAACCTGGGACCTTCCCAGCTCAGTGAGCACCGCTGGACCTCAACCTGGGACCTTCCGAGCTCAGTGAGCACCGCTGGACCTCAACCTGGGACCTTCCGAGCTCAGTGAGCACCGCTGGACCTCAACGGCCAGATAGACTGCCAGAAGAGAGCGCCAGATAGAACGGCAGATAGCATGTCAGATAGAATGCCAGAAGATATGCCAGATAGAGCGCCAGATAGAATGTCAGATAGAATGCCAGAAGATATGCCAGATAAAATGCCAGAAGATATGCCAGATAGAATGCCAAAAGATACTGTATGCCAGATAGAATGCCAGAAGATATGCCAGATAGAATGTCAGATAGAATGTCAGATAGAATGCCAGCAGGTATGCCACATAAAGTGCCAGAAGGTATGCCAGATAAAGTGCCAGAATGTTTGCCAGATAGAATGCCAGAAGATTTGCCAGATAGAATGCCAGATAGGATGTCAGAAGAGATGCCAGAAGATATGCCAGATAGAATGCCAGATCGAATGCCAGAAGATATGTCAGATAGAATGCCAGAAGATTTGCCAGTAACAAAACGTATAAATGTCATGGTGGGGATGACTCGAAGTAAAGTATATAATTTTGAAATGTTTTTGTTTTTTTGAAGATGGGCACAAGTCCTAAGTCATCAGAACAGAGCTACTTACATTGACAGGCCCTCCGGGTCCGTATGGGTTGACAGGTCCCGGAGGGGGAACACAACGATATACGATTACGGGGAACAGAACGGGGGAGCACAACGAGAAAACAAAAGGGGAAACAACAGAGAAAAATGAAAAGTGAAAAAATAAACTAGACGACGGATGGCCCGAGAGCGTAGAGGAGCAGGGTCTTCTCTTGTTAGTATGGAGACACCATTTTACAAAGCAATATATTAAAGATGTATTACACACAGACGCTTTTACACAGAGACGTTTTTACACACA